ACTGGTCGACGAGAGAAAGAGAAGCTGGTCGATTGCTCGCTTGCTTGCTCGGCGTCTTTCGCTGGCGTGCTTTTGCCAAGCCCTTCCAGGCGTCGCCTCGCACACGGCACAATTCTGCTCTGCCGAGTGTATCTCTGTACAAGATTGGTGAAATCCGTGTGTCTTCTTTGCTTTCAGCGTTCCGTCTCAGACATGGCAGACAGAAAGAACCCTTCCATCAGTGCTGCAGACGGGCCAGGTACCTACCTACCTTACCTCCCCTGCGTGCTTGTACGATACGGCCAGGGTACCGCACTGGTACAAGGGGGGGCCCCCAAGCAACGGCGGGCAAAAAGAAAACAAGCTGGCAGCAGGGAACAGCACCCTGACGAAGAAGACCAAGGCCGCAGGGATGGCGGCGGTACGTACCGGGCTAGCGGCCACACCGTGCGCGCCTCGCGGCTGCTCGTACGGCCGACGGCTGCGCGCCTTGTACTCCAGGGTACTGGGGGCGTCTCCACGGTCCGGGCCAGGGTGCAGGCACAGGCACCGCTTTCGCCCTAGCACCGTCATGGCGCGCCCCAGTCGGCCGTGCCTGGGCCACCGTCCATCGCGCAGCGCAGCGCAGCGCAGGGCTTCTGTGAGCAGCAGCGGCAGCAGCAGCCAAGAGCAGCAGAGGCAAGTGAGTGAGTCGTGCGTGCGTGCTTCCTTCCCGTCCTCGTCCATTGAAATACCTGCTCTCGCCCCGACCTCGACTACGCTTTCTCTTTCCCTTTCTTCTCTTCACCCACGAGGCGTTGAGTTAAAGTGTTCCCCCAAGCCTCTCTTCGTGCGGTGTAAACCCTCCCCAAACACTTTTTCTTCTCTCTTCCTTATCATCCTCAACTCTCCCCCTACTATTTTCCCCTAATAATAATAATTCCTCGCCCTTTCAGCCCGCCTACCTACAGGTTCAACTGAAGGATTTTCCCGCGGCATCTCTACCTACAACCCTTCCGCTCTCAATTCCATCCCTTCCTAATCAGCCAACGCCAAACCCTATCCACGTCACAAAGAAAGGAGTTCGTCTCATAATTCTTCGCCATGGCGGACGATAAAGCCGTCGGCGCACCCGCGCTCGACACAAATATCGAATCGGGCAACTTCGACGAGAAGCGCGCTCAGGCTCCCGCGGGTGTCCCTCCCAAGAAGGCCCCCGCTGAGGAGGAGGAAGAGGACGAGGACATTGATGCCCTGATCGAGGATCTCGAGTCCGAGGATGGCCACGCCTTCGACGACGAGGAGGAGGAGACCAACCCCGCCACTGGACGTGTCGTCCCCGAGGACATGCTCCAGACGGACAGCCGTCTCGGTCTGACAGAGGCTGAGGTCCTCGCCCGCCGTCGCAAGTACGGTCTCAACCAGATGAAGGAGGAGAAGGAGAACCTGGTTCTCAAGTTCCTGGGCTTCTTCATTGGTCCCATTCAGTTCGTCATGGAGGTGAGTTTTTTTTTTTTCTGCTTCAATCCATTCACTCTTGTCCTGGCACCATTGGTCTTTTGTCACGATCAATTGCCCGTTTTCCTCCCCCGACGCGATCAGCCAGCATATTTTCTTTGCTGCGCTCTCCTTCTTCCCATTCCCTCCAAAACGGCCTTGTTTTTCGCCTTTCCGCGCTTGGCTTGGCTGGATTGCCGGCTCCACACGAGCTTCGCACCGCCCGCGCGCTGATTGGCCCGATTGGGCTTGGCTGAGCTGATCGGCACCTCGTTGCCCTTCGGTCGAGAGATTGGGCCGGTCCACTCAATAAGATGTCACCCGCTCCACTCCGCCGACCAGTGCCGTCGATCGCCGAATATGCCCTGAAATCGCTCTTGTCTAATCGGTTGGATTGCAATGCTGACATTCTCTCGCTTTCTAGGCTGCTGCCGTTCTGGCTGCCGGTCTCCAGGACTGGGTCGATTTCGGTGTCATCTGCGGTCTTCTTATGCTCAACGCCTGTGTTGGTTTCATCCAGGAGTTCCAGGCTGGTTCCATTGTCGAGGAGTTGAAGAAGACGCTCGCTCTCAAGGCTGTTGTCCTCCGTGACGGCACCCTCAAGGAGATTGAGGCCCCCGAGGTCGTCCCTGGTGATATTCTGCAGGTTGAGGAGGGTACCATCATTCCCGCCGATGGTCGCATCGTCACCGAGGGTGCTTTCCTCCAGGTTGACCAGTCCGCCATCACCGGTGAGTCGCTCGCCGTCGACAAGCACAAGGGCGACTCCTGCTATGCTTCCTCTGCCGTCAAGCGTGGTGAGGCCTTCCTGGTCGTCACCGCCACTGGTGACAACACCTTCGTCGGTCGTGCTGCTGCCCTCGTCTCCCAGTCGTCTGGTGGCACTGGTCACTTCACCGAGGTGCTCAACGGCATTGGTACGATTCTGCTGGTTCTTGTCGTCCTGACCCTGCTCGTCGTCTGGATCTCCTCCTTCTACCGCTCCAACGGCATTGTCGACATCCTGCGCTTCACCCTCGCCATCACCATTGTCGGTGTCCCCGTCGGTCTCCCTGCTGTCGTCACCACCACCATGGCTGTCGGTGCCGCCTACCTCGCCAAGAAGCAGGCCATCGTTCAGAAGCTCTCCGCCATTGAGTCCCTTGCCGGTGTCGAGATTCTCTGCTCCGACAAGACCGGTACCTTGACCAAGAACAAGCTCTCTCTCTCTGAGCCCTACACCGTCCAGGGTGTTGACCCCGATGACCTGATGCTGACTGCCTGCTTGGCCGCTTCCCGCAAGAAGAAGGGTATCGATGCCATTGACAAGGCTTTCCTCAAGTCCCTCAAGTTCTACCCCCGTGCCAAGAGCGTCCTGTCCAAGTACAAGGTCATTGAGTTCCACCCCTTTGACCCCGTCTCCAAGAAGGTTACCGCCGTTGTCGAGTCTCCCCAGGGCGAGCGCATCACCTGTGTCAAGGGTGCCCCTCTGTTCGTTCTCAAGACCGTCGAGGAGGACCACCCCATCCCCGAGGAGATTGACAAGGCCTACAAGAACTGCGTCGCCGAGTTCGCTACCCGTGGTTTCCGTTCCCTCGGTGTTGCCCGCAAGCGTGGTGAGGGTGCTTGGGAGATTCTCGGAATTATGCCCTGCTCTGACCCCCCTCGTCACGACACTGCCCGCACCATCAACGAGGCCAAGCAGCTCGGTCTGTCCATCAAGATGTTGACTGGTGACGCCGTCGGTATCGCTCGTGAGACTTCTCGCCAGCTCGGTCTCGGAACCAACGTCTACAACGCTGAGCGCCTTGGTCTCGGTGGCGGTGGTGACATGCCCGGCTCTGAGGTTTACGACTTCGTCGAGGCTGCCGATGGTTTCGCTGAAGTTTTCCCCCAGCACAAGTACTCCGTCGTCGAGATTCTCCAGCAGCGTGGTTACCTGGTTGCCATGACTGGTGACGGTGTCAACGATGCTCCCTCTCTGAAGAAGGCCGATACCGGTATCGCTGTCGAGGGTGCTTCCGACGCTGCCCGTTCCGCCGCCGACATTGTCTTCCTTGCCCCTGGTCTCGGTGCCATCATTGACGCCCTCAAGACTTCTCGCCAGATCTTCCACCGCATGTACGCCTACGTCGTCTACCGTATCGCTCTGTCCCTGCACATGGAGATCTTCCTTGGTCTGTGGATCGCCATCCTCAACCGCTCCCTGAACATTGAGCTGGTCGTCTTCATTGCCATCTTTGCCGATATCGCCACCCTGGCCATTGCCTACGACAACGCCCCCTACTCCCAGACTCCCGTCAAGTGGAACCTGCCCAAGCTCTGGGGTATGTCCGTCCTCCTCGGCACTGTCCTCGCCATTGGTACCTGGATTGCCCTCACCACCATGTACGCTGGTGGCCAGAACGGCGGTATCGTCCAGAACTTCGGTAACATTGATGAGGTCGTCTTCCTTGAGATCTCCCTCACTGAGAACTGGCTCATCTTCATCACCCGTGCCAACGGCCCCTTCTGGTCTTCCATCCCCTCTTGGCAGCTCAGCGGTGCCATCCTGGTCGTCGACATCATTGCTACCCTGTTCTGTGTCTTCGGTTGGTTCATTGGCGAGGACACCAGCATCGTCGCTGTTGTCCGTATCTGGATCTTCTCCTTCGGTATCTTCGCCATCATGGGTGGTCTCTACTACTTCCTCCAGGGAAGCACTGGCTTCGACAACCTCATGCACGGCAAGTCCCCCAAGCAGAACCAGAAGCAGCGTTCATTGGAAGACTTTGGTAAGTTTAAACTTGTTCCCCCCCACGCCTTTGACCTGAAGCACATTGCTAACTCGCCTTTACAGTCGTTTCTCTGCAGCGTGTTTCCACCCAGCACGAAAAGTCTCAGTAAATACGCTCTATTACATACCCGCCGATCGGTTGGTCGGCATGTTTCCGTTTTCCATGTTTAAATTTTATGTATGAGTCGTATCTGAAGATGGACTCGTCTGCAGCGGATGAGAGGCAACTTTTCATACCCCTATGATGGTCTGATAGACAGCTAATGAAGACAAGTAAAATGTCACCCTGATGTGTGTTCTGGTGAACCTGATGTTATGGGCACATGTCTTGTTAATGTGAAGAATTGATTGATGCATGAGGATTGAGTTACGAGTTGAGAAATTAATAAAGACAAATTGATATTAAAGACTGCATTCACCTGAACCAAAGCATCATCTTGTGACGAGGATTCTCTGCATGTTTTCGTCGCCGCTCACCGAGTTGGATGAATGAGCCTCACGCATCGCGCGTCACGTGACGTGAATCATTGCACTACGAGGTTGCTTGCCTCGACAAGAAGATGGCTTGTCAACCCGTCCAAAACATTGGCAACTCTTTCTTCTGTTCTAGCACATCTGAACGCCTTTCTGCACTTTTTACAACGCAAGTTCAAAGCCTGACAACGCATAAAACACACGCAACGCGATCACCTCTACCGTGCGGAATATCATCTCTTACTTAGCCTTGTAGAGAACGCATACTATCGTCGCCTTGATACAGAGCCTTGTTGCATCGACTCCTTGCATCGCCATGAGTGACACTCCCCGAGAGATACCGGGTTTCTACTGGGGTAACAATCACCTTTCTCCTTCGTCTATCTACCATTTCTCTGCCGTCATTCTTCCGAAGCAGTCATTCATTGGCTAATGTCCTTTTGACTTTTCAAGACCCGGAGAAGAAGAGATACTTCAAGGTTGAAAAGTCTCAGACAGCGCCCCCCACAGCGCAGTGGTCCTCATCATCCGTGAAGCGTCGTGAGCACGAGTCCCAAGTCGCAGAGCAGGCAGCCAAGAGGCAACAGCTCACAAAGAACCATGTGAAGCGCAGCGTCTTGACCCGTGATGCTGTTGCCTCGGGGCTCCTTGCTCGCGAGACGGAGATTGACAGGACTGCGGAGGCTGGCCGTGGTAAGCGCGAGAACGGGGACGTGCTCGCCGCTGCGTGGGCTCGAGAGGTGACTGCCAAGGGAAAGATCTCGTTTGGGATGAGCTGGGAGCTGAGTGGCCATCCGCACATGTCGTGCTTTTACATTGTTGGCAAGGAGAGCGGTTCCAAGTCGGCTATAGCGTACTCGGGTAAGCATGCTCCCCCCCCTTTTTTTCTTTCTTCATTGCTGTTGGTCTTGCATGGAATAAGGAGATGTTGACGTTGCTGGGTGGTAGCGTTGGATTCACAGTTTATGGTTGGAACCTACATTGAGGTGGGCAGAAAGGACGAGAAGTGAGTCTCTGCCGTCCCCTGACGACTCTCCTCCCCTGACGACTCTCGCAAATAGATGTGATGCTGACGAGGGGTGCAATGTAGCTTGGCGATGACACAACCTCCTTGGCGTGAGCCCACGGAGGCGGCTGTTGTACTATCTCGCCCGCAGAGACCAGCAGCAGGCTCACTGCCAACTTACAACATTGTTCATTGTTCTCATACGTCGTCGATCAAGTACCATGCGCCATCGAATAGGATGCTCCTCACTTCATCAGAGCCAAATGTCGGTGGCACCTTGGTTCTGTTCCGGCCTCCCCTGGATGACGTCTCCAGTGGAAGGAACTGGAGTTTGGGTACGGATAATTCCTCTTCTCTCCTCCTCATCTTTACCCCGTTTCTCCTCGAAGATGCCGCTTCTTGTTGAGAAATCACAATCAAATCCATCGCCTTAAAAAGCACTTTACTAATACTGTAATTATAGACATTGACCACATGGCCATTCCACTTGGAAAAAAGTGGTGCGTCGCCCATCAGAGTACTCCTGCGCCGGCAGCATCAAATCTCCTATGCGTGGTGGGCACCTCTGATGGAATCATGAGCATTCACTCCGACGAGACGCCTCGCTGGCTCAATCCCCGCCCTCCCAATCTCGGCCTTGATGCAAGAGCGGAAAGGCCAACGCCGAGGGGACGCTTCAATCGGCCACGAAAAACGCCGTTTGAGATATTCTCCCAGGACTTCCAGGTCGACAATCACAATGTGCTGTTCGCAGGCGGCCGGCAGCCTCGCCTCTGGATTAGCGATCTCAGAGCGCCGGCGGTCGAATGGAGCTCCATTAAGCACGGCTCTTCCATCGCACACGTGCGCAGCATCAACCCCTACCAGGTCATCGTCGCCGGCTTACGGGACTGCATGTCCGTCTACGACACTCGCTTCCTCCAGACTGGCGAGCAAAAAGACGCGGCGGGTCGAAACGCCTCGTCTCCGGTGCTCGACTTCTCCGAGTACCGCAACCAGGCACGGTTTGACATTGGCTGGGACGTGTGTCCAGAGCTCAACCTCGTGGCCTCGGCGCAGGACGATTCCACGGTCAAGCTCTTCTCGCTGAGCTCGGGCGGCCTCGTGCGCGCCGGCACAGACTTGGAGGGCTTCAGGGCCAAGAATCCCGTCAAGGCGCTCATGTTCCAGACGCTGCGTGGAGAGAGGCTTCCGAACCTGTACATGGCTGACGGCGCGTATTTGAAGAAGTTTGGATGCGCGCCGGCTAGCGATGGCGATCAGGAGTGAAGTCGATGGACGCTGTTTTTCTGTGTCTCCGTTCGAGACTCTATCTGCGCCCGGTTCATTTATTTGATGAGTTTCTACGGATCTAATTTTTTTTTGCTTTCTTGAGTTTGCCTCTCGTGCTAGCATTTGCTCGAACAAGCACCTTCTTGTACATACCACTCTGAAATCTCTCCCGACTCTTCCAAGAAGACTGATACCCTGCGGACATTCTTTTGTCACTTATTTTGTCGATTTGGCCTACAGGATTGGCCCTGACGATTCTTCTCTCTATTTTTCTTTCTTCTTTCCTTTTTTTTCTTTCTTCCTTTCCATCCACAGAGTTGGCATTTGTTCCGATCGACTGCCCTTATGGATTCCTAGTATTTCTCGTCGTCTTATTCCCCTTTTTCCAGGATTGACGATGGATCTTTTGAGGCACCGACGGGGCTTCCATATCAGCGAGACGTCTTCATGTCTGTTCTTGTCCCCTTTCCATCTTGCCAGATTTGCTTTTTTTTTTTCTCTCTTTCAATTATCGCGTTGAAGGACCGACGCGAGCTTTTCTTTTTCTTTCCAAATTTTCCTTTCTTCTCAAATGTTGTTATTATAATTAAAAAACTGTGTTTAGAGAGATTTACAAGAAGATGGCAGACATCTGCGATATGAGCCATGAGTTACGTATTTACGCAAACAAGAAAACGGGAGACGGTTCCAATTTTATACATAATATTCTTTTCCCGGGTTCTGGCCTGATGAATACTCGTCCTTTGATACGTCGTCACGTCCCTTACATCGCTTTGTTTCAATGTATATCACAGATAGGGGACTTGATCGTCTTCTTCCTCACTCAACAAGGAGGTTCGACTGATTCCGAATGGAACCTGGTATGCATGGACTCGTCATGTATGATTTCATGTATAATACATTACATTTGCCTCTAAAGATTAACCATTATGTATACGTGGAAAGCGACTCCCATGTCCAGTCTCGTCCGACTGGTGTACCAAGAGCGTATAGCGGTTCATTCGTCGTCAAGAAAACGGCAATGCAGATATAGGCCTCGAAAAGATCCTCTTGAAGCACGAGTCCAGCCTTCCTGTGAGCCAAGGCCACCACCCGCAGCGCCTCCATTCTCTCTTCACACCTCCCCATCCCCATACTAAGTGTTCTCAAAGACATCACTTGGGTGTTCCTTGACTAACTGCATCATGATACTGACACGTATCGGCAAGCATAGGAAAAGACTCTGCAAATATCCTCCCCAGCTTCCAGTTGTTCAAGTTGCGCATGTGGCTCTCAAACACGGGGTTAATCATAATCTCGTCTGAGTCCGGGTTCCTCAGCAAAGTATGCGCCTCCTCGTAAGGCCAGGAGAGAGTAAGCGTGGACGTAAATGGAAGGAAGAAATTGTCAAAGTAAAAGACCTCGGGATTGTTCGCCTTGATGACCCTCTCCCTCATCTCGGGATAGGGCAAAAAGTCCATCCACGCGGCATGCGGCACCTCAAATTGGCATGGCAATGGGCGAATCCATTCAGGTAGGCGTTCTAGATTTTCCTTTGTTGGCGAAATCTGCCACCGCATGAAGAGAAACATGAGATATAAAATGGCCACTTTCTCGGGGAGGCCGGATACTTCGGGGAATTTGGTCAGAATGTCTGTAAAGAATTTCGAGACAGGATGGCTGTATTTGCTGTTCTCGGGATTGAGCAGAGAGGAAACAGAGGGGTACCGAGGGCCAGCCACTTCATGCGGCTGGAAGCCCTCGGCAGCACGCTGGTGGCGCTCACTGCGAAAGTCGAGAAGCAGAGCGTCAAGCGGGCACGTAGGACTGCAGTTGAGCAAGGGACGTGAATATCCGTGGGGTGGAGGTTCTAAAACAGCAGGCCGCGCGTTGGAATATGGGACTGCTGGAATGATGGGAGCGCCGGCGCCTGTGCCTGGCCCCGACCCAGACCCAGGCCCCGGCTGGCTCGTGATGGGGCTCTGCCGCGCGACTCCGAGAGGTGGCACAATGGCCGGAGTGGAATCGGAAACAGCTGCCGGGATCTGGATCGATGGCTGCCACGCAGTGAGTCTAGCCTGCGGTGCAAACTCCCGGTTCACCTGTGTCCAGTCGTGCTTCATTGGGACATGGTGATATTCAGGCGAGTCTTGCGCACCGTTCAGGCCCCTCTGGAGCTTTGGTATCGCCTGAGTGTGGTCGATTACGACGTTGAGATCAAAACGGCCCTGTTCAAAGTCCAGCCCGTGCCGAAGGGACTGGCCTTGACGCTCCAGCAGAGCCTGGGTACCTTCGTCAATGGCCTCGGCAACACCGCCCGGGCGCGGCGCTGGTGGTGTGCTGCTGCTCGCACTTTGCCAGCTCTGCAAGGGCGGGGGAGCAGCCTGGCGAACAGGATCAACCATTACTCCTGTAGGAGATGCAGAACTTGCGGATGCTGCATGATGATAGGCAATGGTATTCGTAGTGCCTACGGATAGAGGTGCTGCGTTGAATGGGAGGGTAGGGGCCATGCCAGGGATATCTGCATGTCGTTGAATTACTGGTTGAGAAGGGACGGGAATTCCAGGTCTCAAACTCACTTGGCCCAACTAGAGGCTGCAGCATGCCAATGATGCTAGCCAGCCGCCTCTTGATCTCGACATTTTCTGCCTCGATCGCCTCCTTGGCCCGCACCACAACTTGGAGATCCTGGTACGGTTTCTGAGCTTCCAGCTCCTGAATGCGACGCTCAAGCCTCTCGATCTGGTTCTTAGTCCGTTCTCGGATGGCACGTTGCGCTTCGCGGTCTGTACAACGAAGGGAAGGGACACAATAGTTAGTCTACGCTAATAGCAAGGAGTGACAGTCGAGAAAACGCCTTGACACGGAGAAGGAATGAGGGGGGGAAAAGTAGGACAACAATTGGATGAGCCACATGGCCAACCAGCATAGTTGTGCAGTTCAGATTAAGTAAGTGTGTGACATATCAATCGTGAATGGGTGGACCTGAAAGAATAGCTATGATTCTGAGGGCTCAAGCCATATACGACGAGTCAAAAGGGGGAAATTGGGAACCGGATTCTGGCAAGCACTCACCATTTGCCCTCTTCTTGGCCAGCTGCTCCGGCGTCAAGTTGGCAACACCTCTACCTCCCGCACCAGTTTTCCTCTTCTTGGTCACGTTTTCCATCTCTTCTGCGTCCGGGGTCTCCATGGCGTCCGCGGCACTGGATGGCCCAGCCGGTCGACCGCCATTGGGCATCGCCATTGCTGCCGTCATGGGGGGCGCAGCGGCCTCGGCCTCATGCTTGATGGCCTCGCCAATCGTCAGAGGGCTGCCGCTGCCTGCCGAGTCCACTGCTCCGGGGCTTGAGCCGCCCCGTCTGACGGATCCGAGATCCATGTGAAACATGTGGTGGTATTCGGGAAACTGCCAACCAAGGGCCGGCCAACCATCCTCCGCGTCCGCCGAAGGGCCGGAGCCTGTCCAACTCCCAATGGCGCGATGCCCCCGGCCTCGGCAATCCTGCGGAAGTACCCGTGGCACCTGTATAAGCCCCGGTGTGTGTCTGTCTGTGTGTAGTGTGTGGTGCGCGTCTGCCGAACCGCCGACAACAATCGCCGTCGCGAGGCTGGGCTGAGCGAGCCGATCAGGATGCGTGCGGGTGCTGCTTGGCAGCCAGGTGAGACGGAGCTTCTCCACTCGCCTCCGGATACTTTGTTCCAGAACTGCCTAGTTCCAGCAGTACAGGCCTTTTCTTGCCCTCCTAAAAGCCTAAAGACAATAGTCGTCTAATTGCCTCTTGCGCTCCGTTCGTCCTTGTCCGAAGGCCGTGTCGCTGCTCGCTCGCTCGGGCAAGGCAAGGGGCGTCGCGCGAAGGACGGAACACGGGCTGCATGGGGGGGTGTTGGGTGGAGATGGAATTGGTTGGCTTCCTCCCTCTCCGGCTCGTACGGCTGGCCTATGAAGAAGCCCTGGCTGATTCAGGCGAGCGGGTGGCCAGAGTCATGTTGCGAGTCAGGAAGCGCACTAACGACGAGCTCCGGCACGTGCAGGCGCCAGCCATGGACGGCTGAAGCTGGTCAAGCTTCAACGTCGAGGCATGTCTCGGGCGTCTCGAGTCCGCAGTTCTTGATTAATACGGAGTACTTCCTGTCCGCATCCGTACGGCTCGGAACTACCTAAGGCAGGTATTACTGCAGGCTCGCAGACCAGTCAGTCGACCGGATGCTAGACAGAAAGAGGGAAGAGGATGCCAGACCTTTGTCCAATGCCGGTCCGAAGATGTGCTGAGGGAAGCTAATGCCGTGAGACGGGCGGGATGCTACCGCGCTGCAGCAGCTCCATGCCGGCATTTGATGGATTGGCGTAGGCATATGCCTGTCCAATTGCTGCGTCACTGCCGAATGAAGCATCGTGAGTTGCTTTTTGTCGTCACGAGAAGGGCTGTATGAGGGTTCAGTCTCTGTTTGTGAGATGGTCAGAGAAGAAGAAGATTCAGAGAACAGAGCAAGGAAGGGACTGGACCTCTTTTGGCGGTGACAAAGCAAGTACCTACTTACCTAGGCGTGGATGGCACATTCTTTGGAAGGTGACATGATGGGCTCTTGCTGCTCGTCCTCAACGTAAGGAGGTATCTGTACATGGGTACGATAGGTACGTCTGAGAGCGTCTATGAGTCGAATATTCTCACATGTAAACGAGGCATACAGTATGGATTGGCTATTAACCATCACAAGGAGATATCAGATGAGCTCCAATCATAGCATTGTTCACACTCAAAGTATCATCGTCCTAGGCTAGCTTCTGCTCGCAGCACACAAACAAGTGTCTATCCGAAGCTGCCTCGTGCTCTAAATCCATTCTGTACCAAAGGTATCAACAAAAAACAACATCACCGGCATCGACCAAACTCTCCCCTCCCAAAGCAACCCCCCCAAACCCCCTTGTCGCTCTCGTCTCTTGAGATTCATCACTCCGCAGACGCCCTCGCCAAGGCCTCGTGCAGATGCGGCGGGAACCGATATCGCAGCTGGCTCGTGTACGTTGTCAGGTCAAGAATCATCTGCTTCAACTGCTCCACCATCATCTTCCGGGTGCCCTCGTTGCCGCTAAACTGCCCGTTGACCAGCTGCTCTCGTTGCCTGACGCAGCTGATGATGGTCCACATGATCAGATTGGGCACATTAATAGACACTGGTTGTGAGAGGCTGGAGAATTTCGAGGCATAGGCACGGATTGTGCTGGCATCGCCGCCTGCTTCGAGGGGCAGAATGTCCAAGCCGCGGATTTTCTGGTCAAGAAAATGTCAGTGAATCTAATTTAGAGAAAGAAGTCTGGGGACTGCTAAACTTACGTCGAGGCATTGAGCCCATTGGCTGGCCTCCACCAAGCTCTTAATATCACTCATCTCGAGCAGGACGCGGCATGCAACCTTGTTCTGGTCCTGGATATTCCTGTAGAACATGGCGTCCCGCTCATACATGGTCATCATCGTCTTGGCTAACTCGACGGGGTCGTCAATGGCTGCCAGGCTCAGGCTGCTACCTTGCTCCGCCTCCTGGCCAGCGCCAGCCCTTGGCTTAACGGGCATCAGGCGCATTGGGTCTTCCCCAATCTCCAGAGAGATGGCCTCGCTGAGAGCACGGCTAACAATGGCCACAACCGCATCATATTCGCCAGCGAGGTGATACAGCAGCACCGAGTCAGTAGTCCGACCGCTCTCATCGGCAAAGCTGGCGGCCTGCAGGGTGACGGTGTTGACAAAGTCATCCTGGCCATCAAGGCCAATCAGCGGACCGCGACCCTCGATGACGCCCAAGATGCGGCGGCCATCCGGTCTAATATCGCCAATGAGCTTGCTGAATTCTCGCGTCTCCAGCACCAGCTCCCGCAATGCCTCGTGGCAGAGGCCGCTGTGACGAGCCCCGGCTTCTCCCTCGAGATCAGCGTTGAGGCAGATCAGCGTGAGGTAATCAACGGCAGAGACAACATCCGCGGCCCGGAAGTCGCGGGTGTAGTACCCAATCATGCGACCAAAGTTGATCTGCGGAAGGCCCTTGATGCTGTGTGTGCGCAAGTCGTTGGAGGCAGTCATTGGGTCGCTGGGACGCAGCAGACCGTAAAACTCGAGAGCCAAGCCAAAGTGCACCGCGTCCACGTACGAAAAGGGGTAGAGGTAGGCGATGGCGTCCTCGAACATGCCCGACAGGATCTGGAGGTAAAAGTACATGCCGCAGCTGCCGTTGTTATCGTCAGACGGAGACTTGGGGAAATGCTTCTGGCCAATCTCCCTGATGCTGGCCTGTAGATCCGCCAGTCCGTACGATTCTCCAGCCATCTCCAGCGCCTTGTCGCCCTCTCGGGCCAAGTTGAACTGAAGCCAGATCCAGTCGTTGATATCCGTGTTGAGGCCGTCCAGATTGCGGTTGTTGAGCTCGATTCGACCAATGACCTTGTAGCAGGCCATGCGGAAGGGATCGATTGTGTTCTCCGGCGCGTTGCGGGACCGCTGGATGTATTCGTTCGTGCAGCGATCAAGCAGCTTCCTGTTAGTGATTCTACGATCCTCGCTGGCTGCGTAATTGTTGAGGTACGTAGAAAATGTGCGGTCGATGCCTCGGAAGTGATTGCTGTTGTCATTGACGTACTTGGCCGCCTCGTTCACGTGGCCGGATCGGAGGAGGTAGAAGACGATAGCCCACACGTACTCGCCGTGAATCTGCTGAAGCTCCGTGTTATCCGGGACCAGGTCCTTTCGAGCCGACCGGAGACGGATATATGCCTTGATTTTGCTGGTAATGTCGGGCAGACCGCCAAGTTTGGCCTCGTGAGGGTGCTTGGCAATGAGGGATTCCACCTCGCGAAGGAACTGCTTCTCGAGGAAGGCGTTGGCGCCGCTTAGGATGCGCCTCCTCATGTCGACTGAACGCTGGGAATTGGGATTCTCGTCCAAGTACATCTCGGCAAACTGGCGTTCCTTGGCCGTTTTGCTGCTGAGGCCCGTCTCGGCTTCGGCATCCTCACCAACAATCTCAATCATGGCCCGGTAAGCCTCCACGACGTGAGGCGCGTGGGGCTCGTGAGATTTCTGCTCAACCTCGGCCAGCTCTGCCAACAGGGGATACGGCCGACCAAGCAGACGCGAAGAGTTGAGGCTGCGGACCTTCTCAGCGAGCTTAGACTGGCGTTCGCGAAGGGCCTGGTCCTCGTTCCTAGACTTGCCAGCGCCGTCCGCAGACCGGTCGACATCGGAAAACTCTGGCTGATGAGCTCCGATTCTGGACGGGGCTCCAATAACGGAGCGTTGGAAAGTCGAACTGCCGAATGCGCTGCTGCGAGAGTCACGGGGGACGTTTGCTTGCGACTTTCGCCGCGACCGTCCAAATCCGCCCTGAGCCTCCCGACCCGCTGTGGTCGACGTCTCGCGAGGCTTGATGCCAAAGTGCTGATAGATGCGCTTCCGCTGCGCGTCCCATTCCATCGCCACATTGTCTTCCAGGAAGTTGTCAAAATCGCGGAGTGACCGCTCGAGGCCGTCTTGGATCATGCTCAGGGTCGTCTTCGTCTGCAGGTTCGACAGATATGTTTCGACGTCGACATCAGCCGGGGCGAAGCCGTGTGTTGGTCGTTCGGTTCGCGCGCCCTGGAGGTCGAGCAAGCCGAGATCCTTGGCTGCAGTGCTGGGATCCACGCCCGAGGCGGCAAGCAAGTAGTGAGCCTTTCCCTCGGCCCTCTCGGTCTGCTTCGACTGCAGCTTCCTCAGTCGATGGCGCAAGTCGCCCAGACCCAGCTCCAGACTCGGGAGATCCTCCATGTTGGAGTTTACGACGCCGGCCTTGATGGTCTTTGCAAAGAGGCTGTCAAAGTAGGCGCCGGCGGGCTGAGCTGCAGAGGTCGTCGCGTTGGTGGGATTTTGAGTGGCCAGCGTCTGGCCGCCGCCGCCGCCGCCGCCGCCGCCCAGAAGGGTGCTGGAGAAAGGCGTGGCGCTGCTCTGCTGAGCCGGAGCGGGAGTCGTCGTCGTGGCTCCAAAGAGCGATGGCTTCGCAGCCGTGGTGCCACCGCCCAGGGTTGAGGCGCCAAAGAGCGAAGGCTTCTGCTGCTGTGAGGCATTCTGCTGGTTCCCAAACAGGCCACCGGTCGTGGAAGTCTGCTGGTTCTGAGCCGTCGTCTGCCCAAACAAACCGCCCGAGCTCGGCTGTGTCGTCGCGGCAGACCCGAACAGACCACCGCCAGTCTGAGGCGTGCTCTGCTGGGTCTGCGTTTGTCCAAAGAGGCCCCCAGGCTTCTGCTGCTGCTGTTGTCCGCCGCCGAAAAGGCCTCCGCCGCCTCCAAAAAGTCCGCCTCCCGTGCTGGGCGTCTGTGTGGTGGTGCCCTGCTGCTGCTGTTGTTGTTGCTGGGCAGGCTGGCCAAAGAGCGACGTGCTAGTCGTCTGCCCGAAAAGAGACATCGTGGCGGCGTGACGAAGAGTAATCAATCGAACGGTAGAAGTAGAAGTAAAGTGAGAAAGTAGAAAAAGAACGACCCTGGAGAGCGAAAAAGAAGAGCCACCGCGAGCGGGCAATGAAAGGGCAGAGACGCTCTCGCGTTTGGCAGGGACAGAGATGTTGCGGCTAGCTGCGCGTCTGCCCACCTGTTTGGAAATTTACGACCTGCATCGGCGAGGCTGAAGAGCTGACTGGGGAACGGCAGCTTTAGCCAATCACAAGGCGCTAGCAAATTGGGAGGCTAAAGGGCTGCAGCCAATCACATGTACTTTAACAGAAGGCCCTAGATGCTGGCCTTGCGTGCTCAAGGAACCAGACAAACATGAGTATTATTGGCAGTCATTCTCGGAGACTTGACATCTTCTCCACGCAATTCACTCCTCCCTCATCCCCCAAGTTAGAAGGTTTGTGAAAGAAAAATTGTTCTAAAAAATCATCGTTTATCATTCGCTTTGTTCGACTTTTCTCTATAAAAAAACTTGGCGCAAAAATTCATCATTATACATGTCCTAGAAAAACATCCCAATTCGTTCATTTACATGCTGCGAATTCACTCGTCGGCGTCAAACTCGGCCCCCCATTGCGCAACAGCATTGTCAATCTTCTTTCGGTATGCCTGCTGCGCGTTGCACATGTCGAGGAAGACCTCGTACTTGGCATCCAGCAGCAGCTTCTCGCCGGCGTCGGTGCCTGGCTGCACCAGCCGCCCGGGCTTGCTCATGCGGTCCATAATGTCCCACAGCGACTCGGGCTCCGAGCCGTCGTTGCGGTTGTGGCTGGCCGCCTTGGCGCCCAGCATGGCGGCTCCGTGGACAACAGCCGCGTTGACGTATCTGGGGATCAACACGGGCATGTTGCAGACGGTGGCCAGGAGGTTCATCAGGATCGGGTTCTGGCACTGCGAACCGGACATGAAGATGGACGAAATCTCGTGACCAGCCTTGTTCATCTGCTCAATGATCTGGCGCGTCTGCATGGCGATAAACTCCATGGTGGCATAGTACCATAGGGCCATGTTGTCGGTGCTCTTGTCGCTGTCGAGACCAATCATGGAGCCCTTCATGCTGGGGTCTGCGATGGGCGAGCGGTTGCCCCACAGATCACCGTAGAAGAAGTGGTGGCGGCCGAGGTAGGAGATGGCCGGGGCATGATGCTTCTCGGCGAGGTACTCGAGGTGGGCGTTGAGGAAGTCGTAGATGTGCTTGTCTTCGGCCTTGGCCAGGGCCATGGTCTCGTTGTACGCGGGATGAATATCCAGCATGTGTCGAAGAAGCTCGCCCGTGGCGGACTGGCCACCTTCGGCCATCCAGAACTCGGGGATCAGCACATCCCGATAGGGGCCCCAGACACCGGGGACAAAGACGGGATTCTTGGACATGGCCAGGTGGCACGTCGAGGTGCCTGCGACGGCGGCCAGGCGAGTAAAGGCCTGGGTGACGTCGTTCTTTGGAACATCGGCGTTGAGTTCCTCCTCGGTCAGCTCGACCTTGGCGCCAACAGTGCCGATCCAGCCAGCGTAGGCATCAATGACACCGCTACCGACGGCGATGCCTTCTGGCAGGCCAAGCTGCGAGGCGGCCAGGCGGCTGAGGGTGCCTACGCACTCGCCAGCGCTGGCATACTTTCCGTTCTGTGTAAGATTGTGATTAGCTAGTGGACTTTGGTCGAGATGAATTCGTGGCCAGTTATGAAAAGCCAAAGGGAGAAGAGAGGGCCACAGTCGAGACTGCAAAAGAAAATAGGCTCACCACCCCGTCGACGCCACCCATGCGCTTGAAGTCGTCCTTGACCAAATCACCCAGGCCAATCTCGTGGTAAAAGTCCTCCTGCCAGCCCTTGACGCTGCCGTCCACGCCCACGGGGACGAAGCCCTGCTTGCAGACGGTGCTGCAGAAGCTCCGCGCCTCGTTGCCGGTGGCCAGATGTGTCAAGGCGTCGGCAAGGTCGTAGAACTTGCAGCGCTCAAACAGCTCCGGGGGCATGTTGTTCTTGAGCCACAGGACTTTGGGGATCTCCATCTCGATGCTCATCTTGCCGCCGACATACTTGAGCAGCTTGTGGCCGGTGGCGTTGATCTTGGCCGTCTCCTCAACGGGACGGTGGTCGAGCCACAGGATGACGTTGCGGTCGTTGCCATCGTTGGCAAAGTTGGGGCCGGTGACGGGGATGGGCTCGTCGGTGTCGTTGGAAAAGACTGCCAGGGAGCAGGTGGCGTCGAAGCCAATGCCCTTGATCTGGCTGGGGTTGACGAGAGACTCCTGGACGACGCGGCGCACGCATTCGCAGATGCACTTCCAGATGTCTGTTGTGGATTGTTCCTGGAGACGAAGAAGAAGGTCGATTGTCAGAATAGAGGGGATGCAGCCAATCGGAGCGAGGCGGTCATGCATACATAGTATCCGTTCTCGGGCTGCCACAGCTTGATGTTCTCCGAGGCCAAGGCCTTGATGTCACCGGTCTCATCGATGATGCAGGCGCGGGCAGAGCCGGTACCGACGTCTATGCCGATGTAGTGGTCCTGAGGAGGCAGATGTCAGCTCCGTCCTCTCTTTTCCAGTTCAGTGAATGGTATTGAAAGCTCCAGCTCTGCCAATTCCATTCCTGTGTGTGGAATTGCACGGTTTGATAGCTCGTCGTCTCGGGGTTGGCTTTTGGCGGGGTATCTCGCATACCTGAACATTGGCAGGCCTGGACATGATGTCGAAATTGACCGATTAGCGAATTGTCAATTACAAACTCGAGATGGAGGTAGAACAGCAGGACGGATGTAAAGCCGAAGAAGATCAGAGGAATTGAGTATGAAGGAGGAGGAGGAAATGAAGCAGGTAGGCTGAGCGCTCACTCCATGGGCCTCAAAGGCTTATTATGGTACCCGTTGTCGTACATGGCGACCGTCCGATGTCGTTGCTTCCGGCTATCTCCCCGCTGACGCTGGTGGCTAATAGCACTTTCAATGAAAATTGAGGAACCAAATCTGGGTCTCTGGAGCAAGCCACAAAAACTAGGTCGGAATCACTAGTGGTGAGACGACGACGAGGAAGAGGAATGACGGCCGTTGTTCGTATGTATTATCGAGGAGGAGGAGGAGGAGGAGAAAAGGGCTGAACGACTGACGACTCGCAAGACTGGCGCAAAGCCGAACCTCCCCCACCGCTCTCCAGTATAAAAACAGACCCGAACTTGACCACCTGCAGACCTAGGGGCGTGTCTGCAGCGTCCATGGTGCAGAGAGAGAGAGAGAGACGCCCAGCCGCGAGTCCACCTCGGGTTCTCTGCCGCAACCTCGTCGACCAATTGGGGCGGATGCAGCAGCTTTCAGTCCAAGGTTGTCGACGGGAACCTGGAAATCAATCAATCGTCAGATGGACGCTGGACCAGACGGACCCAGCGCAGGCTCCAGCATTTCGTAGCGGCACAGGGGCCGCTAAAGACGCCCCCCGTCAGGCCCCGAGCGCCCCGCCAGAGGGACCCCAAACTCCCCTAAAGCGCCCTGGGACTTGCCCCTCCGACTCCAGTGGAGCGCTAAATGCGGTGCGAGCTGCTGCACATCACTTCAATTTGAAGAGGAAGCGTTTTGGCGATGAGGGCGATCGAGTTGCCACCAGACGGGCGATGGATGTCGCGGATCAAGACACGTGAAAGGGTGATGGTTTAAGCAAGATAAAATCATATTGAAACAAGAGAATTACGAGGTCTTCTACAGAAAACATGAATGAGCGTTAATGGCAATGTGTCATAACAAATCGGGTGACATGGCATGAACAAGAATCGAAAAGTACTAGTACTATATCAAAAGAGTGCAAGACAGTTCAACTTCAACCTCATCAAGCAATGAAACGATGCAGAAAAGTTCCCAGCATCCACTCTAAAAAAAATCTCCTCCATCAGCAGGTCCTCTCCAAAACTGGATCTCACGATAGTCTCTTTCTCTCTGTCTCTCTTCCATCTTCTTCTCTTCCTCTCCCAAGTTCTCCCAGTAACAAACCCCCACACCCCTCTCTCCCTCCCCGTTTCCTTAAGTCGCTGCCTAGCCAAGAACCATCAAAATCTCCTCTCTCCTCCTCCGCTTTTCCGGAGCCCGGCTCGCCGCAAGCGTCGTTGCAGCCCCCGCCTGGTGGCTTATTCTTTGCCTTCGAGAAACAAGGAACAAACATATTATTTCTCGTAATGTTCGGAAGAGCTCGTCTTGTGCCATCCCACGCGCGGCGACAGAGCGGCTATACGAGGAGCTCGCGGTGGCTCCGATTGCGGTGTGACTTGGGTGACAAGATGGATGGCTGACAATGATAATGAATGATAACTTGGCTGAAGACACAGATGTAGATGGATGTGTAGGTACCTAGGTATGCATGATACTCTCACCTCCCACGTCTCTCCAGCACGAAAGCACAACCTGACGCCGCAATCTCCCACAAACCGTTTGTGGCGCACCCAGCCCAAAAGCCCGCCATGTCTCTCCTTGCGTGACACAGAATGGGGGGGAAAGAAACAGCATACTACGATCACACAAGAGCCGCCGCCATCACGAAGAGAGATACATCCTCACGATGATGGACCCTCAGACCGCTTCAGCCGCACTGACGGGCCTCCCCCCCTCTGGCGCAGACCCTCGCCTCAGCGCCGAGTCCTTCCTCAGCCCGACGCCGCCCGGCGCGCTGCCGCTCCGGCTCCTGCTCCTGAACATGGCCAGACCTTCGGTGCCCATCTCCGCCGCTGCCAGGGCCTCCTCGTTGGCCTCCTCAGGATCGCCCGCGTCCTGGCCCGGGTTGGCCACCTGGTACTCGAGCACCTTGAGCAAGGAGTAGACGCCAAAGGAGAGCAGGGCGCCGAGGACCGGCCCCAGCCAGTAGATCCAGTGGTAGCCGTGGAAGTTGCCCGTGACAATGGCCGGGCCGAGCGAGCGCACCGGGTTGATGCCCGTGCCGGTGAAGTTGGTGCCGGCCATGTGCGCGATGAAGACGGAGACGCCGATGCCCACGGGCGCGAGGAACGTCGCGCGGTGCTTTTCCACGGCCAGGAAGTACACCGTCAGCACCAGCTGCGCCGTCAGAAACATCTCGATGAAGAGGCCCTGGACGACGCTCGTGCCGCTGCCCAGCCCGTTGGTCACGCCCAGCGGGCCCGGCAGGAGGCCGTCCGTCACGGCGGCGGCGGCAATGGCCGCGATGAGCTGGCTGGGGAAGATGTAGAGCGCTCGGAGGGGCTTGACGGCGCCGACGAGGACGAGGCCGAGGGTGACCTGGAGTTGGGCCTCTTTGTCAGTATGATGTTTTGTTTGTTGCATCAAAGGGACTTAGAAGAAGAGGGGAGGGGGTTATTCCAAGGTAATGTGAAGAAAGGAGACTCACCGCAGGGTTAAACATCCCTCCCGTGACGCGATAAAACACCCACACATTGACCGCCAGCGCAGTCCCAAACGACGACGCAATGTACAGCAGCGTGGGAGCGTCCAGGTTCCCGCCGGAGCTGTTGAGCGCCGTCTGCGCCCCCATGAAGGAGAGCAGCAGGAACATGAAGGTGCCGCAGAACTCGCCCACGGCGATGACGAGGGCCGTCTTGAAGGAGCCCGACAGGCGGTTCGGCATGATGGGCAATCTTGTTTCTCAGCCAATGATTTGTTGTTCGTGTATCTGTGAGATTCTGATGTGCTTCGTGATGTTGATGTCTTTTCTGATACTCCTGAGAGAACAGAAGATGAACTGATGCTGGGATATCAGATGAGAATCGAAAAAAAGTGAGTGATGCCTTGAACATCAGACGAAAGTCGTGAAAGAACTTATATCCTCATGATATAGTACCCCGATCAACACACAGAGCACCTAGCCAACCCCCCCCCCCCCCCCCCCCCCCCCCCCCCGGACGAACAAGCCAACTTCCCATCTCACACACACCTCGCCTTCAGAAAAAACGCCACCCTCTCACGCAACGTACAAACTGTGAGTACGAAGTGAAGTGAAGCAAGAACTACCTACGTATACGTTACACCTCAAAGAGAAAAAAACGGCCGTCCTTCCAAGGCGGAAATCCTCCGAATGTCTCACCAAGGGAAACAACATAAACGCAATGCACGAAAATCCGGAGGCGAACAACATTCAACGTCAACAATTCGGAACTCATGTCCATACGAACTTCTTGCCGTCTCTCTGTTTCTCTCTTCTCCATCTTTGTCTGATTAGTTTTTACCCCCTCCTTTTGCCAAGACCAAAATTGCCTTGGAAGGATTCAAACAGCAGCATGACGGGGGAGTGAGACACAGCAGCACAGAGATACCTAGAATGCATCTTGCCCCGAAAAAAGAACAACAACGCAATCTACACCAACAACCAACAACAAGAACCAAAAAATCAAGACGCCTCTTACGGTGTTACCTCTCTCTCTCTATCTCTGCCGCAGTGTAACTCCCCTTCTCGTTTTCAACTTTCGAGTAACACGCCCAACCTTACATGAACATCCGTGATACCTTTCTTCTTCTTCTCTCACGAACCGGAAACGGCAGGACACGGCATAAAGCAGTTTCCGACCTCGATCTACTACCTAGGTACTCGTAACTCTTCTCCCTTCGATCTACTCTGCTTCAGCCCGATGTGTGCTCCTCTCAAAAAATCCCCCGTCATCGATGGGGCGGGAAAAGGAAAACAGAAAGAGCACAGACACGCCACGAAAGAAGAAGAAGATCGCCTTTCTCATCAAGCCCCTCGTAAAAAAAACCGTTGAATGTTCAAAGCGAAAACCAAACCAATATACTGATGAAAAACCAAAGTGATGAGACTAGATAGATCCATGAGATCACTTTGTCTCAGCCCATCAAATCATCCCGCAAATCCTCACAAGCAGAATGTTCCCCGCCGCCGCTGCAAAAAAAGGGATATCGTTCCGAGTGTATATCACCGGCCTCGTTCCTGCAAGGTGACGTCGGGTGGCTTGCCTTTTTTACGGTGAGCATCATCAAAAGAGAAGAAAAACGTAAATCACTTCACACGAATCTGCCAGGCTCATCTCTCAAGCCCATCACGTCTTGATGTCCAACCTTGTCAAGAGAAACACAGCATCAATAATAGCTTCAAATCAAGTCGAAGCACATCGTATCAAATCGAAACCCATCATACATCACCGGGTATCAACGGAAACACACGCCCCGTAACGCATGCCACAGCATTTTGCGCTGCAAATTAGCCCAATTCATTGAGAACCTCTCGTCGTGGCAAAGATTGGAGCACAGATGGCGTGTTTTCGAGTTCGCACTCGCGCGCAAGCTTCATCAACCCTCTCGACAACTATATGCTGTGCTTACACACACACGCCAATCTCCTTGTCAGGATCAAACTGCCGCTCCGTTGCATCAAAATCAAGCCGTCCAAGTAATACAACGGCTCCTAGCCCTTGGCCCTGCAGACGTCCGCACCAATCACGCGCAACGGCGCCAACCAAGCTCCTTCGGCTCCTTCATGCTCTTGATTGCAAGTGTGCGAGCACAACATCAAGTCTGCCGAATCGTTCATCGAGCCTCGCGCCTCCGTTCCCCGCGAAATAGCGGCAACATATAAAAAACACACAGTAAGAAGAGAAAGATCACGCAAAGAGGTACTGCTTCGTATCGTCCGTAAACTTCATAATTCGTTATTCGTCAGTGTCGTTTGAGTGGTCCTCCGTCAGGATCACAACGGTTAGTGTCGCCGCGTATGCTTCTCGGATAGCACACGCCATGCTGTATCCCCCCAAAGCCCCGGTCAGTCAGTCAGTCAAAGCCCAAGTGAAACCATGAACGAAAGGAAATCAAATCAGGGAGATGGACGGTGATCCTGTTTGGACATACCAAGTGTTGTGGATATCCGCCACGACTGCGCTGAGCCCCCAGTGAGCGCACCAGGCCCTCGCCAGCACCTCGTTGTCTCGAACCCCTACCGCGTCCACCACGAGCACCTTCTCATCGTCGACGTCCCTATCGACCACGGCATGTACCGCGTCGGCCGCCGGTGGAGGGCTCGAGGCGGTGCTACTGGGGCCAGAGTGCTGGCCGTCTCCCCCGTACAAGCCAGACCAATTGCGGATGCGAACGATATCGTCCGCCCTGACCAGCTTGTACTCGTAGTCGTAGAACAGGGGATGCGGCCCATCCGCACACGGCCACGCGGAGATGAAGCTCACATCGTACATGAGCCGCAGCGGCCAGGACACGCCATCAATGGCAAACTGCGCTTGGGCATCAAAGAGGCGAGGGCCCCCAGCGCTGCTCTCGCGCCCCGTGGCAGGAACCGGTTTGAAGCTCAGCAGCTCCATCCGCACGGCGTCCACCACGTATCGGTCGCCGTCCAGCGTCGCCAGCTTGTACTCGCGCACGGGGTATGCATCTGCCCGCGGCCCTAGCGCATCGGACCGCGTGCTCATCGTCTCGACGTCCTCGCGCGTCATACGCTGCTTGGGCTGCCTGGTGCGGATGCGGGCAATCTGAGACCGGCCAAGCTCTGACGTTGGCCTGCAAGGCCCGACCCAGCCTGCGACCGAGTGGCACGTCGGAGCCAGCACCTTGCCCACAATGCAGCTTGCCGACCAGTACGTGTGACTATTACGGTACTGGAAGCCAGAGTGTGGGTGCATGTGAGAAAGCAGGGCCAGCTCATTCGTTGCCGGATCAGGGTCTAGATCGATGAGCGTGTTCATGATGAGGAACGAGAACGTCGGCTGCAACGTGTTAGCAAACTCAATTACCCCTTATCTCCATGGTCCCCTCCTCGCCTCCATCTCTCTTGTCGTGCCCGTGATGTCAGAGGTCACTTACACCGGGAAGCACGAGTCCGCTAAAGTAGGCAAAGGCATCCGAGCTTATGGTGTCCAGGGAAAAGTCCTCGTCCTTTTGCCGCAGAGAGTCCATTGTGTCCCTCAGATTCGGCCACTTCATGATCTGAGCAAACTTCTTGAGCTGCTTCACTTGCCGCTTCTTCAGCTTGTACCGCAGTTTCACTAGGAAGATACACTTTAGCTTCGTGTCCCTCATCATACCATAGCACAAACGCTCGTCGCTTCCATCTGCAACCAAGTCTTCTGCTGCCTTGGGCAATGCGAGATACGCAACGTCATACATACCCTCTTGAGGAGTCTCGCCGTATGTCTCAATTCGGACATTTTCCCGCCATCGCCTCGCGAGTGCCAGGTTCCACTTGATCGTAGGGGGCATCTGTTGCAGCAGCTTCTCCTTGGCCCAGTCATCGTGATGCCGTGATTGAATGCGCAGGTCCAGCTCGAGGCTGAGGAGCAACTGATGAAAGAACTTGTGATACTGCTCCCGGCCCTCCTCGGAAGAGCCGTTGAATATAAAGCGAGTCACGACCTGGTTTTTCGGTTCCGTGTAGTCGATCCAGTCCGGCCGCGACAGGGCCATGATCAGGTCGGCGATCTGTTTGTCCAGCGTCTTGTGCGGGCTCAGAAGCTTGTCGGGGTCTCGCAGGAAGCCCTTGTACAGGGATCGATACAAGTGGCTCAGGTCGTCGTCCTCCAGCCCCAGTTGCTGCAGGTCCTTGAGCCGCGCAAAGATCTGCTCCAGGCTCACCGGCCGCGGCACGACGCCCGAGTCCCTCAGCGGGATCTTGGCCGGAATGTTGCTCGCCGCAGCGGCCCACTGGTTGAGCGTGATGGTGCCGCCCAGGTGACCGTAGAAGAAGGCGTAGCTGGGCTGCTCTACCGTCTCCCAGGGGTACGACACATGGCCGTGCTCCTGCACCTTCATCGTCATGAGATGGGACATGGCGTCGTTTGGCCTCGCCACGTCGGTGCCTCCGCTCCGGGTCTTGGAGCTCGTCACGTAGAGCGCATAGTGCTGGTCCGATGCGTAAGGAATGGCCTTCTTGCGGCCTTTGAACGTCGGCGCCCCGCGCGCAATCATCTCGAGGGCATCTCGATGGGGCAGCTCGTCGAGGCTCGACACCGCCGTCGGCGGCCATCGCGGGTTCTGGCCTCCATTTGCCGCCGACGGCTGTGCGACCCTGTGGCCCCTGTCGCCAGCAGTGGTCGCGGCGTTGTCGTTGCTGCCGCTGACATCGGCTCCGCTGTCTCGCTTCTTGCCAAAGCTCGACTGAAGCCGGCCGGAAAGCGACTCATCGGGTCGTCGCCTCGTGGCCGAGGTCCTGGGCGAGCGCCTATGGATGTCACTGCCGCTGCCGCCATCAATGGTGCGCCGCCTGCGCGGCAGCTCCCGATGGGGAATAACGAGGCTGTTGCTGCCCTCGCTCAGCCTGCGGCGCTGCTTCTCCTCCTGTTCGTCGTACTGTTGCTGCTGTTGCTGCTGTTGGGACTGCTGCTGCGGCTGAAGCTCCCTGTCCTCGACGTCCTCTTCCCACTCGCCCCCGTCCACGTCGTCGCGCGCCTCGCCGCGCAGCAGGTCCTGATACTTGCGCACCACCCTCGAGCCGCGCTTCATCAAGCTCTCTCCGCGCAAAAGGCCTCCCCAGAACCGCGACTTTTCCTTCTTCTGCTCCATCGCTGCTCTGTCTTCCCGTCACTTCATGCGAAAGCCCACCCGTCCGCTTTCCGCTAGGACCTTTTCCCTTTACGTCCCCCAGTAGCGCTCTGCGCTTCGTAAAAGAAGGCGATGAAGGGGGAGAAACAAACGTGAGAAGAAGGCTCTCTCACGAAAAGTCGGTCAGTCGCCCGGGTGTGGCGAAGAGAGGGCAGCGCATGGCCAGCTCTTTTCTTCTGTGCTTGGCTTCCTTTCTTAGCTTTCCGTCGGCAGCAGCACGTTCATCGTAGGCGCATTCGCTGCAGTGGGTACCTGAGGTGAGAGGTTTCGCTCAGTGCCGTTACGCACCTGAATCTCCCTGCTTTGCCTTGTGCAGTAGCAACTGGTGCCCCAGTGGCTGTGAGGCAAAGGGAGGAGGAGGCAGAAGAAGAAGAAGGTGAAGCAGAAAGACAAGGTCGATGCCTCGAGAAAGATAAAAGGTTCAAACAAAGGAAGGGGGGTGCAAGATGTAGAAGAGAAAAGGAAAAAAAAAGTTGAGGCAGGACGTACAAGTAGAACAATGGGCATGGATGGCACAATAGCCGCCCGCGCCTACCGGAAACCAGCATCTAGCACCATGAATAACGAGGCTTTGCCATTGAACCGTTTGCTACCGAATATTCACAATGCACGAACAGGGGAAAAAGGAGGCAAAGACAAATACACGTGCGTAGACGAGGATTATTCTCGATGAACCGGAACAAAGGGATGTGCACTCATTTGTTGCTCGAGGTATTACAAGTATAGCATCTGCTCTGTACGCAAACAATGCTCATCCATGGTAGGTAGCTGCGACAAAAGAATGGACCGTATACACCCTCCCTGCATCTCCAGCAATCACCAAAACCACCAAACCAAAACCTCGACTTCTCCAGCCTCGCCTTCATTCAATTCTTTCAAAGATACACGCATCTCTACATACAACAATATACCAACCTCAATCACGCGGCTCACTAAAAAAGAAAAGCCCCCCCCCCCCATATTCCCCCATAGCAATACTACTACAATATGACAGGCCCTCTCCAATGCGACATCAACCAACTGCACGCATGCCTTACCGCTCGCTGCACATAAACGCTGCATCCCAGGAAAAGGCGGAGTCTCGCAAGGGAGGGAGTAGCCACCAGGCACGGAAGAGACATGGATGGTATGATCCCTAGTAGACCTCCATGGAACAATAATCCTACACATCACCCTGCCCATCATCACGGACCCCTGGTCCATTTCAGCATAGAACCTGACCCAATCACCACACCCATCAACTCACATCACCAAGCCTCCGGAACACCGCTCGTTAAACGCAGCACAACATCACAAACATCTTCACAAGTCCAGTCCGCTGATCGACCAAGTCCTCGCCGTGTTTATAGGGTTCTGGGCATGCACCACATGCTTTGTGTACAGAATAAATCAATTGGTAGCCAAGCAAACCGCAGTCCTAATAACATCGCTAAAAGAATACTACCACAACAACCCTCCCCCTCCATGACCGGACAGGCCAAGTGTCGAGTACAGACATGCACCGTTGAAAATCACCAATCCGCTGGGCAATTCGCACACAAGTACTCGGGAGTTTCCAACATCGTCACTGTTATACAAAACGCGTGCCCAAGATGTACACATACGCCAGCTTACACCAGCTCGTCCGTAATAGGCACGGCCGAGTCTCGATCCTTCATCTTGGCAAAGGCCTTTTGATACTGCATCAATCGTTAGCCTCCGTCCGAGATACATCTTTCCGACAAACAAGCTTCGTCTTACCTGAAGAACAAAGTTGACAATCAGCGCAATCATCATGGCCACGCTGATAATCACCGGTCCAACCATGTTATCAAAGTCCTTGCCGCTCCTCTCCATGATCATGGTCCGCCGAGTCCGCAGCACGCTGTAGCCCCAGAGGCCCGCAAAGCCCGCGATGCCAATGTACGCAATGCCGATCCACTGCGCAATCGTGTTCTCTCCCGCGGCCGAGTACAGCGCCAGAGCCAGAGTGCCCTGCAGGATTGCAATGTGCTGCCACTTGAGGAACGTTCGCTCGTTGGCCAGCCACACCTTGGGCTCGACCTTGAGTTCTCCCGTGTTCTTGATCCATTGGGAAGGCTCCACTACGCCGTCGGGGAGTCGAGCCTGCGCTCGTTTGGCAATGGCGTACTTGGAGAGGGATAGACCTGGAAGAACTGATGACAAGGTGCCGTATCCTCCCGACCGAGGCTGAGAGCTGCCCTCGCCCTCTTCTTCCTGGCCCTGCGCAGGCTGCGACGTCCTTTGCCGCAGAGAGCGGGACAGATGCGCCCTGGCATCATCGGCCATGCGATCGGCCAGATATGACTTGCCAACGGGCGAGCTCTGTGCCACCTTGTAAGAGCTGGGCACAGTTCCAATGAGGCTTCCGACGGCCATAGCATCGTCGGCGCGCTGGGCCCGGCGCTGCTCTTCCTCCTCAAACGCCTTCTGGGGGTCCTTGCGGATATCGGTCTCCAAGTCGCCGAGCCAAAAGGGCAGGTTGTTCACGTAGTCGTCAAACAGCGAGGCAACGCCGTGGACAAACTTGGAGAAGCGGGGGGTAGGGTGCACCAGGTGGGAGCCCATCAGGTCCTCTATCCAGGATGGTCGCTTGCGGTTGCCATCCTCCTTCAGCTTAATCTCCAGCACGGCATAGGGGAACTTGGACACTTCGCTCTGGTTGATGTTCTGGAACGGGTACTTCATGTTGCTGTTATCAATATCCAACCGGTGCCACTCGTTGGGGTCTCGGCAAGGGCGGCTCTTGTCCAGCGTGTCCTCGCGGATAAAGGCGAGGTCGGTGTCGATGGAGATGCGAACGCGGTCATCAGCAGGTTTCTGGAAGGCCGTGCGAACGTAGTTGGCTCTCAGCACCGGCATCAGCCTTTTCCTCTGCTGAAACTCCTGAACACGGGCCACGGTCGCCCTGTATGCCTCAATCTGCTCCGGAGACTCGCCCATCCTCTCCATCTTCTGTATGGCCTTTTCCGCCGTGTATTCTCCGTTGAGAAATTGCTTGACGTACTTGTCCTTGATCGTGAACTTGTGTTCCTCGCTGTTCCCGTTGACATCGGCCGATTTCTGCTCCACGAAGATCTCGGGCCTGCTGCTCAGCTGGCCGTACCACCGCAGCCGCAGGGAAGAGACTTCTGACTTCTGCTCCACCTTCTCCGAGTATACCTCGAACTTTTCATTGTCAAAATAGAGCGAGGTGATGGAAGGCGAGTCAGAGCCGTCCAGCTCCTTGGCAGACTGTTCGCTGTAGACGAGAGCAGGGAGTCGGCGAAGGATGAGCGTCTTGACCTCGAGCAGGTTGTCGGGGTGCACCCAGACTGCCAATTGCATGTTAGCGAAGCGAGCTGGAGAAAGATGTAGGCCGAAATGCAAACTTACACTTGTGAGCTGTGTACCGCTCGCCGTTATGCGTCTCCGCCGATACATCCAGATCAAGCGGCGCCTGATCTCCCTCCTCCAATTGCTGCCGAATAGCAAAGTACATGACAGACAGCTTGTTCAGCAGAGGGGCGTATCCCTGCTCCGAGTTGAAGGGCCTCTGAGCCAGGCTAAGCTGCATCATCGGCCGCACCTTGTAGCGGTCTCCCCTCTTGCGGTCATGCTTCTTGACAATCTTGAGGAAGCTGGTGTAGTTGAGACTGCTATACTTCTTCAAAGCCTTGACCTCGTTGGTGATGTCATCGAGCTCTGCCTCAAGCTCCCTGAGCTTCGCGGCCAGCTCTTCGCGGCTGAGTCCCGGCTTGCCGGAGCTACTGCCCTCGCCAGCATCGCCACCGCCATCAGCAGCGTCTGCACCAGCGCCAGGCTCGGCGGGCGGCGCATACTCCTTGAGCTTCTCGAACGCGGCATCGACCCTCTGCTTGAGGGCGTCGAAGCGCTCCTGCTGGAACTGGGCCACCTTTTCGAGCTGGACGTTGAAGATTTCGTCGCAGAAGCGGCTCTCGTCCTCCTCGGTCCAGACGGTCTCGTCGTCCTTTTGGTCTTCCCGCAGGAGGCTCTTTAGCTTGCCGTAGTCGACATACTTGTCCTTCCACGGCGGGTATATCGACTCGCGGAGGGTCTTTCCGAAACGCATCTCGCCGGCGCCGTGTCACGTCGTCGCCCGTGGTCGAGGGAAATTGTGGTTGTGAAATTGTCGGGCTGCAAGTCCTCGCTCAATGGGTATCGTGTCGCCCGAGGTTCTCGAGTTTGCAGGAGCTCCGTGTCGGCGGTGAAACGTCTTCGGCCAGCAATTGAGTCGGAAAGACGAGGCTGGAGAGCACGCGGGAAGAGGTCAAATAGGAGGGAAAACAAACAATGGAGCCTCTGCAAACGTGCCGTAGAACGGCAAAAAGATGAGAGTAACACGGCCTTTTGTTCCAATTGAACCTGAGCCAAGATGCCAAGGGAGTGACAATTACCGAGCAATGGAAAGAAAGAATCGAATTCAAGTGACAAGAGCACGGAGAAGCAGAACGAGCTTCGGGCTGGGATCCGCCACACGTGCGTCGACTTCTAGGCCTTTCTCATGCCGGCGTCGCCAAGCTGCGGTTCAAGCTCTGCCGCTAGCCCATTATCCGCTAATGCACTGGGCCATCCATCCACTATAACCCAGATCCACAGCGCTAAATTCCTCCTGCTGCTAATCGAGACTCCAGCTCATTGAGGTTCTTGCCCAAGTCACTGCGGTACCTTAGGTTAGGTACCTTCAATACCTGTAACCTCACCTCACCTCACCTCACCTTATCTCACCTCACCCGAAAGCGACGTCAGCAGCCCAAGATCCTTCATTTCCAAGTCCCCCATGCTGCTACACATTTGGGTTATATGAATATCTCAGAACATCAATTCCGGTATCTTATTACCTGAATCTCTTGATGGGCATTTCCCCAGTGCTGTTGAAGACGCCCAGCCCCAGCCGTTGCTCACTGGGTGCCAGCCTATCACCGCTCCGTAAAAGGCACGTGTGCCCAATCTCCATCTTGCTTCCATGACAAAAAAACAGACAGCCAGGCATGGACAAATTCAACTTGCTGCGCTGGAGCTGCAAGGTGGGCGCTAGAACGGCCAAATGACGCAGGTTTTGCCCCGCAAAAAGTGAATTGTCTGAGCCGATTGGACCAGAACAAGGTGACATCCGGGATGTGAACTGGAAGCTGGAAGCAGTTGATGACTTTAAGGTAGAGTAAGTTATACTAGAACAAGATTGCAATTGACTTTTGTTTTTCATTCGAATACCTAAGTTCTTAGTAGTCATTCGTAGATGGAGTTGTACGCGGTAATTCATCTGGACCAGCCTCATGGATAGGTAGACAGCAATCAATGGATGAGGGCGAAACACCGGATGAAAAGGCATCAACAAATATAACACAAGGCTATGGTATCAATGCTAAACTACCTTTTTGCTAGTACCTATCAGACAACAAACTACCTAAGAAACGCACAAATATGCAAACCATTACATGTACTCGTTACATGATCCATCAAAACACCATGCTTCATAAACTCATTTTCCTCAGTGCGCTGCGATCCTAGAGAAAATCTCCTGCGCAGTCCGCTTCACGATACCACCCGTCACAGGCAGGTTGGTGCAGTGCTCCAGATACAAGTCCACCTCCCGGGCCGCCATACGACCCTCGTTGATGCCCCAGACGATGAGGGACTGGCCGCGGCGAGCATCACCCGCAGCAAAGACGCCCTCCACGTTGGTGCTGTACTTGCCGGGCGCCGTCTTGACGTTCTTGCGAGCGTCCTTCTCAATCTCGTCTCCGAGAACGCGCGCCTCGGGTCCAAGGAAACCCATGGCCAGCAGGACAAGGTCCGCAGGGAAGAACTGCTCGGAGCCCTCAACCTTCTTCATGTCCCAACCGCCACTGGGGTTCTTCGTCCACTCGACACGGACGGTGTTGATGCCCTTGACCTTGCCGCTACCGTCGTCGACAAACTCCTCGGACATGATGCAGTACTCTCGAGGGTCCTTGCCGTCGTGCTGGCGAACTTCCGTGTGACCGTAGTCGACACGGTAGATTCGAGGCCACTGGGGCCAAGGGTTGTCGTTGGCACGCTCATCAGGAGGCTGAGGCAGCAGCTCAAAGTTGGTCACGGACTTGGCACCGTGGCGGACCGAAGTACCGATGCAGTCATTACCGGTATCACCACCACCAATGACAACGACGTGCTTGCCCTTGGCCGAGATGTACGAGTTGTCCGCGAGCTGCGAGTCGAGCAGAGACTTGGTGTTCTTGTGCAAAAACTCCATGGCATAGTGGATGCCCTCCAGGTTGCGTCCCTTGATGGGGAGATCACGAGCAACAGTGGCGCCGGTAGCAATGACGACGGCGTCGTGGCTGGCCTTGAGGTCCTTCAGCGATGGCTGGCCCTCGGCACCGATAGCCACGCCCGTCTTGAAGTTGATGCCCTCGGCCGCCATGAAGTCGGTTCGGCGCTTGACGATGCGCTTGTCCAGCTTCATGTTGGGAATTCCGTACATCAGGAGACCACCCAGGCGGTCGGCGCGCTCATACACGGTCACGGTGTGGCCAGCTCGGTTGAGCTGATCAGCGCAGGCCAGACCGGCGGGACCGGAGCCGATAATGGCAATCTTCTTGCCAGTGCGGACCTCAGGGGGGCGAGGCACCATCCAGCCCATCTCGAAACCACGGTCGATGATGGCACACTCAATCGACTTGATACCGACAGGGTCACTGTTGATGCCAAGTACGCAGGCTCCCTCGCAGGGGGCGGGGCAGACACGGCCGGTGAACTCTGGGAAGTTGTTGGTCATGAGCAGGCGGTTGAGTGCGTCCTTCCACTGGTTCTGGAACACAAGCTCGTTCCACTTGGGGATGATGTTGGAGATGGGGCAGCCGGTATCAGACTGGCAGAAGGGGACACCGCAGTCCATGCATCGGGCAGACTGGTACTTGAGCTCATCCTCATCGAGACGGGAGCTGATTTCGGCCCAGTCCTTGATTCGAGTGGCGACAGAGCGGTACTTTTCGGTACGGCGAGCGTACTTCATGAAGCCCTTGGTCTTGTCGAGCACCAGAGCCCTCTTCTTCTTCTCGGCCGAGCTGTCGCCAATGGCCTCCTCCATATCCTGGAGCTTGGCAGCCTTGTCCTCCTTCTTGGAGTGGTGCACCCCGGAAATGGCAGGCAGGTTGTACTCGGCACGCTTGGCCTCGGCAGCCTTGGCAGCCTCCTCCTCAAGCACACGCTTGTAGTCCGTGGGAAGGACCTTGACGAATCGAGGCAGGGCGCGGTTGAAGTCGACCAGGATGCGTGCCGCGCGCTCAGAGCCCGTGTAGTGGTGGTGGTCCTCAATGAGACCGCGAACGTAGGCAATCTCAACGGGATCCGTAAGGGGCCCGTACTCGACCATCTCGGTGTTGAGCTTGGAGACGAAGTCCTTGTTGATGTCCAGCACGTACGCAATACCGCCAGACATACCCGCAGCAAAGTTGCGGCCAGTGCTGCCGAGGATGACAACTCGTCCACCAGTCATGTACTCGCAACCGTGGTCACCGACACCCTCGACAACGGCCGTAGCGCCAGAGTTGCGGACGGCGAATCGCTCGGCAGCGACACCGCGGAAGTAGCAGATACCGCTGGTCGCACCGTACAAGCAGACGTTGCCGATCAGGATGTTCTCTTCAGCCTTGAACACGGCGGAACGGGGAGGGTAGACAATCAGACGACCACCAGACAAGCCCTTGCCGACATAGTCGTTGGAGTCACCCTCCAGCTCAAGAGTGACACCGGGCGCGAGGAACGCACCAAAGGACTGACCGGCAGAGCCCTTGATATTGACATGAACGGTGTCAAGCGGGAGGCCTTCGCCGCCATATCTCTTGGAGATCTGGTACGACAGCGAAGTGCCCATGGCACGATCGGTGTTGACAATGTCGCACTCGATGCGGGACGGAAGACCCTTGTCGAGAGTCAACTCAGCCTCGGAGATCAGCTTGTTGTCCAACCGGACGTAGAGCTTGTGGTCTTGCTTGCGGACGTTGAAAGTAGCAACGCCAGGTCGCAGCCTGTGTGCGGGCGTCAGCAGCAGAGACAGGTCAATGTTGGCAGTCTTCTTGGTGCGCAAGTCCTCCCGCATCTTGAGGACCTCAACACGGCCAACCATCTCGTTGATGGTACGGAAACCCAGCTTGGCCATGATGGCTCGAAGCTCGTTGGCGACGTAGTAGAAGAAGTTGATGACATGCTCAGGGGTACCAGTAAACTTCTTGCGAAGCTCGGGGTCCTGGGTGGCGATACCAACGGGGCAAGTGTTCAGATGGCATTTGCGCATCATGATGCAGCCCATGGCAATCAGGGGAGCAGTAGCGAAACCCCACTCCTCAGCACCGAGCAAGCAGGCAATGGCGACATCTCGGCCAGTTCGGAGCTGACCGTCGGTCTGCACCACAACACGGCCACGCAGGTCGTTGAGAACCAAAGTCTGGTGAGTCTCGGCAAGACCCAGCTCCCAAGGAAGACCAGCGTACTTGATACCAGTCCATCGGGAAGCGCCGGTACCACCGTCGTGGCCAGAGATGAGGATGTGGTCAGCCTTGGCCTTGGCCACACCAGAGGCAACGATGCCGACACCGACCTCAGACACAAGCTTGACAGACACGCGCGAACGGGGGCTCGAGCACTTCAGGTCGTAGATCAGCTGCTTCAGATCCTCAATGGAGTAGATGTCGTGGTGAGGAGGGGGCGAGATGAGACCAACGCCGGGCGTCGAGTGTCGGGTGCGAGCAATGGACTTGGAGACCTTGTGGCCGGGCAGCTCACCACCCTCACCAGGCTTGGCGCCCTGTGCCATCTTGATCTGGAGCTCATCGGAGTCGGCGAGATAGGCAGACGTGACACCAAATCGGCCAGAGGCGACCTGCTTGATAGCAGAGCGCATGGTATCGCCGTTGGCAAGTCGCTCGGATCGCTCGGGATCCTCACCACCTTCACCAGTGTTAGACTTGCCGCCCAATCGGTTCATGGCAACGGCAAGAGTAGAGTGGGACTCCATGGAGATGGAGCCGTACGACATGGCACCGGTGCAGAAGCGTCGGACGATGTCAGTCCACGGCTCGACCTGGTCAATGGGCACCGGCTTGCACTCATCAAACTTGAAGTCAAGCAGGCCACGCAGCGTGCAAGACTTGATCTGCTCGTACTCGCTTCGGGAGTAGGCCTCGTAAGACTTGTCGTTCTTGGCGCGAACCGCATCTTGCAGGTTAGCGATGGCAGTCGGGTCGTTGACGTGGGCCTCGCCGCCGTCACGCCAGTGGTATTCGCCAGACTCCGGGAGAGCCTTAATGCCAACAGTGTAGCGTGAGGGGAAGCCAAGCTCGTGGAATCGGAAGGCATCCTCGGCGATGAGCTCAAAG